GATGCTTGATGCTTTATTTGGTGCTTACCTCTTAGGAAAGCATGTGGTTACCAGTTTTGTCTATGACTTTCTTTGTTGTATAAACGTCATATTCAGTATGCTAAGCTGAGACTTTGATACGAAATCACATCTCTCAATGTTGAAATATATAGGTTGGTCGAACTCACTCTTTAGCTTCCTCTTCATTTTTTTTTTTCTGAAAAATTCCCTGCCTCCCTCACATTGAGGTCAAGTTTAAGGAATTAGAAAACTGGATAGAATGAAGAAATGTAGGAAAAATGTCTTGAAGCTCAGATAACTGAATAAGATGAAGTCACATCACACTTTGTAATCAAACTGAGTTGAGAGGCTCCCTATGAAACAAATTTCTAAATTAGCTTATTGTGTTAAAGAAAACTCCAGATGCCTCTTTGGGTGAAATTTTGAATCTGGGAGAAAAGCTGGAGTGAGTTTCTGAATAAAGATGAAATGACAGGAGTATATTTTTATTAATTTTTCTTTGAAATTAACTGGTAATGAACAGTGTTGCAGGCCTGTAGTTCATTAACACAATTTTTTGGTTCTGAGTTTGGTTTTCAAACTTTTCATTGCATTTGTGTTTGGCCTCAGGAAACAAGGCCACTTTTTTCCTGTTCTCAAATGAAATGTGTTGCAGTTAACCAGCCAACAATGTAGCTAGTCCACTTTTGACTGTGGAATATCAAATCAGTTGTGAGACTGTCAGACAATATAGCCAAGAAAAATGGTTTTCTGCTTTGTGAGATTTTTTTCATGCTTATTGATATTATGTTGAAATTTGTGTGATACAGTTTGCATTGAGAAACAATCGTGTAGGATGGTATCTGCCTCCCTTTCTTTCACAGCTTTCCAATAAAAAACCCAATCCACTGGCCCATTTTCATGTCTGACTGTAATTGAAATGTTCATGGCAATGAAACTGATATTGAGGATTCCATTTATTCCCATATGGTAGCTGTTTTTGCTTTATTTGAACTAATTGCTTTTATTTATTAAATGGTTTTCTCTGAGACTATAGACCTGCTTTTCTATATTCACAATTTGTTCACTGCCTGACCCTTTAATGGTGATCTCTGATTAGTGACTGTGTTCCCAGTCTTTGGAGTTTGTTATGATCTTTTAGAGAGGAAAGAGATGGAGCAGGATTGCAGTTATCTGTAAATAATTAGGCAGGTGGGCTCTTTATGCCAACTGTGCAAAAAAGAGTTCAGTGATCTGATCAAATGCCAAATACGAGCTAAAGTATGCCATGGTTATTGAACTCTGCGAGGCTAAATATGAATAAGCATGCATTTTCCTATGACTGTGACTAATGCAGCCACAGATTGATTCCGTTTTATTTTGCATGGCTATTTTATTACTAGTTTCATTTGAAAGAGAGAGTAGTAAACTAATTTTTACAGTTTTACAGTGGCATTGGATGGTGAGTTTTATGAAAGACTAATGGAAGTAGTGATAAGAGTGTTAAATTTAACTTTTTGTAAGAAAACAAAGAAAACAAAATAGTTGCTCAGAAAGATTTGTTGCACTAAAAGAATATTGTATAAGTCTGATGTGCTGTTGTACTTGCTCATGTGATGTTTAAACAAAGCTGGGGGTTTTATTCATCTAGTTTTTGAAACAAAGTACTTCCATAAAAGACAGTATAGTGATTTCTCTACCTCATTTTCAACAAATTTTAGGGACACAGATTTCTCCTTCTTATATGGAAATATGAAATATTGTTCATGAACTTCAAATTTAAGGGAATTCAATATCTGAATCCATAAAATCTGCAAATTTAAAGAAATTAATTGTATGAATTCATAAAACCTGAAAATATCAGGCCAATTTCAAAACTAGTATTTCAGAAAGAATCCAACTTTCTTCATAATTCCCCTAGCATAGTTTCCCTTTCAGGTTATTAATCTTATGCTGCCAGACTCTTAGCTGTCTGATCATCCTATATGTTTGCCTGTGCTTGGTGACTGTTTGGGGTCTGTTTGGACCTGTGCCACCTGGCTTCTTCTGCAGGGGAACTTGTGTTCAGAAAGAAGACTAATACACATTTGAGTCCCACTTTCACATGCCTTGCACCTCTGCAATGTAAGTAGATGTATGTGCTTGGAACTTATGCTAAAGTTCACGTAAGTAAAAGATAGTATAGATGTAATGGGTTGAAAATGTGATCTCGTGTGAGATGCATTGTATGAGGAATATGTGTAGCCTCAGTATGTATTATGGACCCTCAAACACAGAGAGATCTCAGGGAGGCATAGGACAAATAGATATACTGCAGAAGTAGATAGTAATGTCCACCAAGACAGATGTTAGAAGTGGAATAAATGCTCTTGGGAGAAATCAGAGAGCACTGACTCTGGGCCCTGCTGAAGAGAGGGGTGAACTGCTGCTGCCACTCACCGTGAGGCTCGAAGTCCACATCTTTCAGGTGGGATGATTAATAGGATTATGCCTTTGGTTGGCTGACTCCTGAGCGAGATGGAGATGTCTGGGTGCTGAGTGTCATCTTATAAACAGAGGACCACCCTCTGCAGGTATGTGACAAGAGGGTAGCAATAGGATCTCTTGTTATATAGTCAGCAAGATACTTGGAAACAAGTAGTTACTAATTTTATGATATTAAACTATTATGTGTTGGATTATTTTTACCAGTGATAAATGTATAGTGAAGGATTTTAACAAAGTTTCTTTTTTTTTTTTTCCAAAAAGTTATTTAAACAACTCCTGTAATACATGGGTATGATAAAAACTTGAACATTTAATACTGAAAGGTAAGAGAATACAAGCATCTGGGTCTGCCGAGGCTGTTCCTTTGCTTTGTGTGTTCAAAATAATCTGTAAGGTCCTCTTCCTTTTTTATCTTAATTTGTTAGGGTGGTTGGTATTCTATGACAACCTGAGTATTCTTGCTCTGGGTCGATTTGACTGTAATGACACTTTGATAAATTTCTTTTTCTCAGACAATGCAGTGCTACTGTGAAGTGGCTGCTTAGAGTAACACCTTCAAACTCAGACAGTCTGCTCTTTTCATACATTTGGTCGTGTCTGTTGATTTCAGTCACTTTTTTTTCCCCTATTTTTACTGTAAAGGCGACACATAAATCTTTGTTCATTCTGTTCCATTTAAGCCCATTAAAACACTTCTCTTGTGCACTCAGACTCTTATTTACACTATAGCAAGGCAAGTTTCCTTTCCACTTGTAACCACTATAAATGAGCACAGAAAGCTGAATTTTGAGGTTAGTCAGGCCCTGGGTTTTCACAGCTGTCTTGGACATTGTTTACAGAAATAAAGTAATCAAGGACCTGTTTTGACCTGCAGAATCTTCCCCTGAGGCAGTGCCTCTCAAGGAATAAGCAGAGTTTTAGAGTGAAGTCATCTCTAAAATGCATTTTTGATTAGTCCTTTTGTTCCCTCTGTTCCTCCACTGTTTGCCTCATACAATACTTATTCATAACCTTTGAGAGTCACTGAGTTACCATAGTCCAGGTGGTAATTCATCTGCCATACATACATCACAGAGCATGGGCAAGCCTCTCTCTTGCATATTGATTTCCTGAAACTGTTCTTCGTCCACCTGGACAAGTGAGTAAATTAAGAGAGATTTAAGTAATTCTGAAATATCTGCCTTGGCACTTCTCAAGGGTGAAGTGCCAAATTTCACAAACTTTCTTGGGAGATGGGTGGTATTGGTTGCAGAAATGAGTGAGGAGCTCATAACTTGTACAGTTGGCTATGATTATTTAAAAGTAAAATGACCAAAAAAATCCACTCCAACCAGTGAAGCCTTCCACTTTTATTTTATTTAAAAATAGCATTGATTGTCTGCACTGTACACTTTTTTTGACCGAATAAACTAGTAGTGACCCCTTTGGCTCAAGCAAGAATTTGAAGCATTGTCTCCTTTTCTCTTCCCCCTGCCCATTCATCCTGTAACTGAGAGGTCAACAACCAACATCAAGTGTCTAAGTCTGGTCTTCAGCTTTTTTTCCCCTGCAGAGGAGCTGTGGAGTTGCTCATTGGAGCCCTCATGGGGCAGCTGTGCAGGAAAGATCACATCTGCCATCAAGTAGAGAGACTGTTGCCCTTAAGGTCAGAGTCATGGTCTGGAGCTGTGACAAATAAAACAGAGAGGAGGCTGCTGCTTTGCTCCTTTGCCTGGAGTGCAGGAACAACTAGCTGAATTCTTCGAAAAACAGTATTTAATTGCATCTGTTTATCTCTCTCAAGTTTTGCTGTGTCAAGAATTGTCTCATTAAAAGGCTGTGGGTTTCCCCCTTATTTATTTATTTTATTCTTCACCTTTCTTTTCTGGCCACAAGTCTACTGAGGAATTTGACTTTCTATCACAAAAGGAGCTTTCTTGAGGCTTTAATAAGTAAAGTGGAATTGCTTTAGGGAAATTTCCTTCCTGATTATGATTGTGTATACTTTTGTGTGTATGTAGGTAGATATATGAGAGAGATGGTAACAAATAGCTCTTCAAACTGTGATGTTTACTTCACGTATATTTATAAATTTTTCAAAATCTGAAATTTCTTGAAGGATCTTAAATTCCATGTTATAAAGTTTGGGGAAAAAAATACAGGATTTTATTTGGTTTACTTCTTAAGAGATACAGAATCTTTGTCTGAACAAGCATAGTCTAGCCCTGAAGTATTAAGATTGCCTTTAAATTTCTGTCTAGGTCTCCCAGATGTGGGTGCACTGTGCCTTGGGGACCTCCAAGTTATAGCGAGCTCCCTTCACATGTCCCTCCTCTTCCTTAAATAATCAGTGTGTGTCAGGGGAGAGGAGGTAGGGGTAGAAGGCTGTGTGCATCTTTCATCAGTCTGAAATTTCTCAGTTTGGGGTTACAAGCTGCTGTGTGCTATGCAAATGGTGATACGAAAGAGAATAGAAGTAGTGGCTGTAGATTTATATATAAATTAAAAATTCCTGGCTTGCAGACTTTGGTAAATACATACATCTCTGTTTTTAGGAATACACTATAGATATAATTTTTGCCCAGACATGGTATGACAGTCGTCTGAAATTTAACAGCTCGATGAAAGTGCTTATGCTTAATAGCAACATGGTTGGAAAAATTTGGATTCCAGACACTTTCTTCCGGAACTCAAGGAAATCTGATGCTCACTGGATTACAACTCCAAATCGTTTGCTTCGAATCTGGAGTGATGGAAGAGTATTATACACTTTAAGGTGAGTTTTTATTAACTGGTTAGAAAAAGATAAAAACTGCTATGACTAGATATATAAAAATAATGAATATGAATAAAATCCTTGGCATCTTTTTTGTTGTGGACCACAGGAACTTGCAAGGAGTTTACTAAAGGAGAAAAAAAAAAGATTATTAAAAAAAAGATTATTAAAAAAAGATTAGAGAGGTGATTCTCCCCCTTTACTTTGCTCTTGTGAGACCCCACCTCGAATACTGCATCCAGTTCTGGTGTCCCACCATAAGAGAGACATAGATCTGTTGGAACGTGTTCAGAGGAGGGCCACAAAGATGATCCATGGACTGGAGCACCTCTGCTATGAGGACAGATTGCGGGAGCTGGGATTGCTCAGCCTTGAAAAGAGAAGACTTCCAATACCTGAAGGGAACCTACAGGAAGGCTGGGGAGGAACTTTTTACAAGAGTGTCCACTGATAGGACAAGGGGAAATGGGTTTAAGTTGAAGGAGAAAAGATTTAGATTAGATCTTAGGAAGAAATTCTTCAGTACGAGGGTGGTGAGACTTTGGAATAGATCGCCCAGAGAGGTTGTGAATGCCCCCTCCCTGGAGGTGTTCAAGGCTAAGTTGGACAGAGCCTTGGGTAGCCTGATCTAGTTGAGAGGCATCCCGGCCCATGACAAGGAGGTTGTATTAGATGATCTCTAAGGTCCCTTCCAGCCTATGCCATTCTATGATTCTATGATATGATCATTAAAACCATGAAATTAACAGCATTCAAATATGTTGTCTAGATGATTAGGTAAAGACAGTTGAAGGGGGTAGCAAATTTTAATCTCATTTAGGTACAGGCAAGATTAAAAAAAAAGTTTTGTATCATGTAGCACAATGTGATGGTCTGTCACTAACATATTGCAGATCTAGTCGTAAATTGTTTTCTAGACTTTCTGTTCTAAGTAGTTCAGTATCTAATTTCCACCAAATCACATTCTGTAAGTAAAAGACGAAATGCTTCAGATAATACAAATCATAAGAAGTTTGAAGAGCAATGAAACTAGTGAAGAGTTTAGAGAACTTGTCCTATGAGGAGCGGCTGAGGGAGCTGGGACTGTTTCGTCTGGAGAAGAGGAGGCTCAGAGGGGACCTTATCACTCTCTACAATTACCTGAAAGGAAGTTGTAGGGAGATGGGAGTCAGTCTCTTCTCCCACATTATGAATGACAGGATGAGAGGGAATGGCCTCAAGTTATGCCAGGGAAAATTTAGGTTAGATATCAAAAAAAATTTCTTTACAGAGAGGCTTTTTTTTTATTGTAACAGAGTCCCCAGGGAGTTGGTGGAGTCCCCATCCCTGGAGGTGTTTAAAAACCGTGTAGATTTGGTGTTGAGCAACATGGTTTAGGGACCCTGACAGTGCAGGGTGAATGGTTGTACTCGATGATCTTGAAGGTCTCTTCCAACCAGACGATTCTACAATTCTATGATTCTATGATTAAAGCTCAAGCCCCAGCCCTGCATATACTACTTTGTGTTTAGCCTTGCAAACTATTAAAATAAACAAATCTGTTCATCCAAATTAGGCATAAGCAAACATGTTGGTGATTATTCTTTTCGGCCAATGGGGAACACTTGGCCTATTTTTAAGCTTACCATCTAGGCTATCTGTACTAATCTTTGAGACGTTTATCAAACAGTTCTTGAAAGGCGGTATTCTACAGAAAGCATTGTAGGGTTATTTCTCAGTTTTATTTTTTAAATACACCTAAAAAATCTTGCAATAAATTAGGAGTTGACCATTGAAGCCATTCATGCAGAGGATGCCATAAATCTGAATATGTTCTTAAGAGTTTCTTTATTTTAGACAAAAAGTATCACCTTTTAATTACTTTCCTTTCAGTCATTTATGCTGTTTTCAAATGCAGGCTAGATCATAGAATCATAGAATGGTTAAGATTGGAAGGGACCTCAAAGATCATCTACTTTCACCCCCCCTGCCATGGGCAGGGAAATCCTCCACTACACCAGGTTGCCCAAAGCCTCATCCAACCTGGCCTTGAACACTTCTAGGGATGGGGCATCTACAACATCTCTGGGCAACCTGTTCCAGTACCTCATCACCCTCTGAGTGAAAAATTTCTTTCTTATGTCTAATCTAAATCTGCCCTCTTTCAATGTAA